TACTCAATCAACATCCAATCACTCTTGTACCTTTGAAACCCTAACAGGTGTATGAGGATCAAGTAAGGCTTAAAAAGGAGAGAGATAAAAAAGAAGAGAATGAGCAAAATGAGAGAGTGATAGAAAAAATAGAAATGGAAATTTGACAGAAAAAGCGAGAGAGGCCAAAAAATTGAGAGAGAAAAAAAGAAAGCAAATTCAACTTTAATGAGCTTAAGAGAGGAACAACATTGTTTCATTGCAAAAAAAATTGAGATCAAGAGAGCTTTACATTTACAACAACCCTTTATAATACTTCTATACAAAGAGGCATTTTTGTGCAGTGATGATCTTACCAGAAATTTGCCAAAACCTAAATTTACAGCAATGACAATATGGGTTTGGAGCCCTAACTAAAATTCTCAAGAAAATAAGGGGAAAATAAGGGGAAAATAAGGGAAGGAAAATCTTCTCTTTCTAGGTTTTCTATTTTGACTTGCAAATTAAGTTTAGTAATTCTAAGTGGATAATAATAGCAAGTCTTTTATTCTCTATTAATATAAATAGGTGTAAAAAACCTTAAATTCCTTATGGAGGATTTTTCCATTGTAAAATTTTAGACCACTAAAATTATTCTACTTAAAGGCAAAAGGAGATACATTTGAGTACATTTGAGTTTTTGATTGCTAGTGTTATTGGAGATTTAGTCTTCTTCAAATCCCTAAGTGTACGTGTGGATCACCGCTAGAGGAATTCTACACTTTGATTCTTTGGTGGCTTCATTGGAGGACAATGGTTAAATCTATGCATTAATGAGGCACATGTCATTAAGGTACTGATCATAAATCCTTCTTTAATCGTTAATGGATTCATAAGGATCCAATGTGGGTTGAAAAATGACAAAATTAAATTTTTGAAAATTTTCATTTCTGCTATACCTTCCTAAACCCAACAATAATCACAAATACAAATAGAGTTGGCTTAAAGGTCACAGTTTAGCATATTAATCCTATACATCACTAAGATAGGATTAGTCAACGAAAAGATTAACACATAGCTACTTTGTTAGGTAGTAAGATTTTTGTCAAGAAGTTGTGTCTTACATGGTGCTTAAAGAAAGTGAGTTTATTGAATTGACTTACTATGAGAAAACATTACATGCATGCGTTATTAGTAGCTTTACATTTACGAAGCAATTGTAAGTGATCCTTTAATTTGAGATCATTAATATTATGTATGAGGACTCTTGTACTTTGATGCTAATATAACTAGCTACTACAAGGGGTTACTTGTAAAATAGTTATTAAGTGCATCAGGAATCATATATCAATGCTGATCGAGTCAATATAGAATTTATCTCTCACAAGTTAATGAGACTACTGGCAAGATTATGGCCATGACATGAATGAAAGACCATATTCAACAAGTATGTTTATCTTAAAAATCAAAGAAAATAATATCAAACTTTAATAATGACACATAGCATTATTGTGCTTGATTGAGATATTAATGATGAAAAGATCAAGTTACAAAAGCATGTTGGTCATCCATGGGTGTTCTTATTGCCACAATAAAAAAAACAATAAGGTTACCAAAATTTTAGTTTTTTTTTTTTTCTTAAATAGTGCATGAAAATATTAGTTTGTTGATTAATTTATTTTGTTAACAAATAAATATCAATTATCCATTAGTTTTTAGTTAATTATTACAATTATTAACTATTTTAATTAATCAAATTAAATAAAATCAGTGTTTTCATAAACTATATGTTATAATTTTAGTCATCATAATATTCTTATTATTAGCCACAATCGTCCTTGTCATCAATTGATCTTTCAAGAAATACTTGGAATCTAGAAACATTCTTTAGATTCTTAAGTGCATTTCCTAAATATTGCCCTTAAGGTGTGATGCAAAAAATATGCACTGTTCTTAAGAAAGTGAACTTAATCAATTATGTAGTATAAGATGAGTGAGATATTATTGCCTCAAAGACTACACTACCAAGATAATATTAATCTCACCTAAGTTGAATTAATTAATCAAAAAAAGTTGAATTAATTAATCAATTAAATAAGGTTAAACTACTTAATTTAAAGAAATTCTAAGTAAAAGGAAATTATGGATGGAAGGAACTAGGATTTTAATTTCATTTAATTTGAATTATGCAATTAATTAATTAATCTAATCCAATATCAAATAGTCCTAAAGATTTGTTAAATGTCCTTGCACAAGAAGGGGAACTATCAAGTTAATTATTTTTCCACTTGTTAAATTAATTATATCTCTATATAATTTAAAATAAACTAGTAAATATTAAATTTTATGAAAACTAGCTTAAGAAGGGGAACTACTAACTCTCTTCACTCCTTCCATTATCACATGTAATGCTAATTACCTTTCAACCTTGTAGTTTAACAAACTGTTTATATTGTTTTTAGTTTAACTCAGATAATTCTTTCTCAAAGTCATGCGTAAATTGTTAGATACACCAAAATGTGATTAAACTTTCAAAACATTAAGTTCAACAACATAAACTATCATATTAATAACAAACGGGTCTTGAATTAAACTAAAATGAATAACATAATCCAAATATTAAACTACATCTAACCCTATTTCAATTAACTTTGCGGCTTATAATAAAATTTAGAACATTCATAAAAATTAAAGAACAATTTCAACAAAAAAAAAATTCAAAAATTAACAAGTTAAATTAATAAACTCAATTGCTAAATGATGCTTGTTGAATTCTTCTCCTTTGTTTTGGATTTTGTCCTTGTGAGTTGTTGTCCCTTGGGCTGTTGTTGCATTCGTCTCCCTCACAATGCTTCGTTTGTGTGTAAGCTTCGAAAACAGGTTGGTTCAAGTCAGTTTGGATTAAATTTACCTTAAATTTTAAATTTATTGAGTTGGGTCATTTTAAATTTTGGATAAGAGAGGTAGACTCATAATCTACTCACATGAGTTAAATTAGGTCAAGTGAATTCAATTTCTTTTTAAATTAAAATTAAAAATGTTCAAAATTTTCTCTATTTTTCTTTTAAAAAATTTAATATTAATTAATTATTTAATAAAAATTTATTAAATTAATATTAATTCTAATAATTTAATAACTAATAACCATTTTATAATATTTAATTTTATTTTATATTTAAAAATTAAAATTAAAAGTATAATTAATCCAAATTTTAACTTTAAAAATATTAATTAATTTTAGTTTGCTCACTTCA